GAATTCAGGATTTCAGGAATTCAGGATTTCGGGAATTCAGGATTTTAGGAATTCAGGAAATCAGGTATTCAGGATTTTGGGAATTCAGGATTTCGGGAATTCAGGATTTCAGGAATTCAGGATTTCGGGATTTCAGGAATTCAGGAATTCGGGAATTCAGGGATTCAGGATTTCAACATTTCAGGAATTCAGGAAACCAGGTATTCAGGATTTCGGGAATTCAGGATTTCAGGAATTCAGGGTTTCAGGAATTCAGGACTCCAGGAATTTAAAATTTCAGGAATTCACTTTTAAATCACATTTTAAAAGCTAGGAGGTTAACCTATCCAATTCTCTCTCCTTCCCTTTTTCTCAATAACAATAATAACAACAACAACAATAATAATAATAATAATAATAATAATAATAATAATAATAATACAAAATATAAAAGTGATAATAATAATAACAACAACAACAATAACAATAATAATAATAACAATAATGATAATAATGAAAATAATAATAAAAGTGATAATGGTAAAGATAACAACAACAATAATAACAATAGTAATAATGATGATAATAATGATAACAATAATAAAAGTGATAATGGTAAAGATAACAACAACAACAATAATAATAGTAATAATAATAATAACACCAACAACAACACCACCAACAACAAAAACATAAAGAAAAAGTAAAAAACACGCTACAATATCCCTCCTTCAGTATATTCTTGCATTTTATCCAATCTTTCCCCTTCGTTGTTTTATCCGCCATCTATCCAACACGAATCTTAAACGAAAAGACACCAACAGAAGAATCAGTGAATTACGAAACGAGATACGAACTGAAATGATGCGGAAAATTGTTGTCTTACAGTTGTTTAAGAATTTGGAGAAAAAGTTTTTTTTTATGGAATATTAAGGAGAGTTGTAATGATGATGATGATAGTGATGATGTTATTCTGATGTCTTTGGTGGTATAATTATGTTTTGTTTATACTCAAAATGTTCGTTAGAAAATGCTTATTCTGAATCACTAAATATGGTATCGTCATTATTATCGATATTCAAATACTTTTATGTTTTATGAATACCCAGTCTTTCTTGTCTCCTTATCACAAAGCTTTTAGTCTCGTAAACACCATAACTCTCTTCTCAAATACAACTATATATAAAGTACCATTGTTCCTTCCCCATGAAACTATCATGTAACCATATGTATCTGAATTTGTGTTCATCCAAATTCTTTCATGTTTTCCATTATGAATTGCCTCAAAACGAAGTTTGTTCATAACAATTTCTGAGCAGTCGACACAGACCGCTCGCCCTCACGGTTATGGCAACATGCCCTTGCTCCTTTGCCTTGCCTTTGCCTTGCCTTTGCCTTGCCTTTGCCTTGCCTGTCCTCTGTACTCCAGCTACCATACTCCCACAGCAATAAAATATAAATCTGCGACGACTTTAGCTACAACACTCTCGAGAACCAAAAGCACCGGTACCATCAAAGAAGAACGCAAACTCACCTCAACATTACATTGGCCCCAGTCTAAGTGGGATAAAACTCCCCACTACATTACACTGGTGCCATCAGCTGGAATATCTCCCTGCTTCGTTAGACAGGCGGCAGACTAGTGGGATGACCTTCCTGCTATACATTACACTGGCAGACGCGTGGGATACACTTTTTACACATTATGACACTGGTGACAGACCACTGTGATAACCCTACATATTACTACAATAACAATAGGTACAATAACAATAGTGAGGATGGTAACGATCATAATAACAATAACAATAAAGAAGATGATGATGATGATAATGATTATAGTAATAATAATAACAGTAATAATAAAGAATAATGATAATAATAATATTGATAATAGTGATAATTAGTATAATAACAATAATAGCAATAATAACAATAATAATGATAACAATGTTAATGATAATAATAACAATGATGAAGATGAGGATAATAATAATAATAATAATAATAACAACAACAACAACAACAACAACAACAACAACAACAACAACAACAACAACAACAACAACAACAATAATAATAATAATAATCATGAAATAATAATATAATATAATAATAATAATAATAATAGTAATAATAATAGTAATAATAATAATGATAACGTATTTCTCACTTCCGCAAACACCTCTGTCATCATGCAATCCATGTCACGTGATCTCCTCTGGGCGTGGCTAACCTGCCCGGGAAAGCATGGTCGAACAGCTGCATATCTCCCAGAAGGATTTTCGACCTTATTTGCAGGTTTCCAGACGCCTTGATGAGGTTGGGGGAAGAGTGTGCTATAAGTTACTCGGGTTTACGTTTTTTTTTGTTTTTTTTTTAGAAACTGATGCGCTTTTTTGTTTGTTTGTTTATAAGTTGTGGGGTTGCTTTCCTGATATTTGTTTGTTTCCTTGTTTATTTGTTTGTTTGCCTGTTTTTAGCTTGACTGTTTTAATCCCGATGGTCTGTTTGTGTTTTTGTTTATTTGTTTGATTGTCTTGTCTGTTTTTTTTCATATTTTGGATCGTTTGTTTGTGTGTTTGACTCTCTGTCTGTCTCTTTTTATGTCTGTTTGTTCGTTTGTTTGTTTAATTGTCTGTTTGGTGTCTTCCAGATAGATTGTCTGTGTTCTGCGTAACTATATCAAGCCTTTTTTACTTTTTTTCTTTTTTCTGTCTATTTATCTGTCTATTTATCCTTCTTAATTGTCAACGCTTCCCTTCCCTCATTACCTGTATCGTTGATTCCCTCTGTTTATCATTTTTTTCTTTCTCCCTCCTTCAGTTCCTCCTTCCGTCCATCCCTTGCTCCTCTCTTTTATTCTCTTCTCTAGCACTTCCTCTGTTCCTTTTTATCCTCCTGCTTCTCTCCCTTGTTTGTTTTTTTTTGTCTCATATTTCCTTCCTCCCTCTTACCCTCTCTCCCTCCCCTCCTCCCCCCTCTCTCCATCCCTCCCTCCCTCCCTCCTCTCCTCCCCTCCTCCCCTCCCCCTTCTCTCCCTCCTCTCCTCCCCTCCTCCCTTCCCTCCTCTCCTCCCCTCCCTCCCTCCTCTCTTTCTTACCTCCCTCTCCTCCCTCCCCTCCCCCCTCTCTCCCTCCTCTCCTCCCCTCCTCCCCTCTTTCCCTCCTCTCCCCCCCTCTCTCCCTCCTCTCCTCCCCTCCTCCCCTCCCCCCTCTCTCCCTCCTCTCCTCCCCTCCTCCCTTCCCTCCTCTCCTCCCCTCCCTCCCTCCTCTCTTTCTTACCTCCCTCTCCTCCCTCCCCTCCCCCCTCTCTCCCTCCCCTCCTCCCCCCTCTCTCCATCCCTCCCTCCCTCCCTCCTCTCCTCCCCTCCTCCCCTCCCCCTTCTCTCCCTCCTCTCCTCCCCTCCTCCCTCCCTCCTCTCTTTCTTACCTCCCTCTCCTCCCTCCCCTCCCCCCTCTCTCCCTCCTCTCCTCCCCTCCCTCCCTCCTCTCCTCCCCTCCTCCCCTCTTTCCCTCCTCTCCCCCCCTCTCTCCCTCCTCTCCTCCCCTCCTCCCCTCCCCCTTCTCTCCCTCCTCTCCTCCCCTCCCTCCCTCCTCCCTCCCTCCTCTCCTCCCCTCCTCCCCTCCCCCTTCTCTCCCTCCTCTCCTCCCCTCCCTCCCTCCTCCCTCCCTCCTCTCCTCCCCTCCTCCCCTCCCCCCTTTCGCCCTCCTCTCCTCCCCTCCTCCCCTCCCCCCTCTCTCCCTCCCTCCCCTCCTCCCCTCCCTCCCTC